ACGAGAAGATTTGGAGAGAGAGGGAAGCAGGGGTGGGACAGAGATAGCCTCACAGGAAAGGGACATACGGCTTGATATCAGCAGCCCTAGAAGCCACTAACCAGCCATATGGCTGCTGGTGTGAGAGTTAGCTTCCGTGAGCCTTAATAGCCTCCCCTGCTTGGGATTCTCATCTCTCTCTCTCTCTCTCTGCCCTTCCCATGTGCGCGCGCTCTCTCTCTCTCTCTCTCTCTCTCTCAAAAATAAATAAACATTTACTTAAAAAAAAAAATGCTGCAATGAACATGGAGTGCAGAGATCTCTTCCACATAGTGATTTTGTTTCCTTCAAATATATTCCCAGGAGTGGAATTACGAGATCATCTGGAGAGTTCTATTTTTCATTTTTTGAGGACACTACGCACTGTTTTCCATAGTGGCTGCACTAATCTACATTCTCATCAACAGTGCATGAGGTTTCCCTTATCCTCCACATCCTCACCCACATTTGTATCTCTTGCCTTTGTGATGGGGGCCATTCAAACAGGTGGGAGGTGATATCTCATTGTTGTTTTGCTTTGCATTTCCCTGAAGATAAGGGACATTGAACATCTTTTCATGTACCTGTGGACTATTTTAATTTCCTCTTTGGGAAAATGTCTGTTCAGGTCCTCTGACCATTTTTTAATTGGGTTATCTGGATTTTTTTGCTTTTGAGTTGTAAAGGTTATTTATATAATTTGGATCATATATGTGATTTGCAAATATTTTTTCCCAATCCATGGTGGCCTTCTCATTTTGTTGATTGTTTCTTTTGCTGTGTGGAAGCTTTTTAGTTTGATAGAGTCCCACTTGTTTATTTTTTATTTTGTTGTTTATGCTTTAGGTGTCAAACCCACAAAACATCATTGCCAAGACCCTGTCAAGAGGCTTTTTCCCTGTTTTTTCTTCTAGGAGTTTTATGGTTTTATGGTTTTGGGTCTTACCTTTAAGTTTTTAATCCATTAAAGAATTCACTTTTGTGGGTGCTATGAGATAGTTTTATTCTTTTATGTGAATACCCAATTCCCCCAGCACTATTTATTGAAGATAATGTCTTTTCTCCATTGAGTATTCTTGGCTCCCTTATCAATATTAGTTGACTGTATATGCATAAATGGGTTTATTTCTGGGCTCTTGATTCTGTTCTACTGGTCTCTGAGTCGGTTTTTACACTGGTGCCATACTGTTTTAATTACTATAACTTCATAGTATACTTTGAGATCAGGAAGTGTGATGCCTCCAGCTTTGGTCTTCTTTCTCAGGATTGCTTTGACTATTTGCACTCCTTTGTGGTTCCATACAAATTTTATGACTGTTTTTTCTACTTTCGTAAAAAAAAAAAAATTACTATTGGAATCTTGATAGGGATTGTATTGAATCTGTAGATGGCTTTGAATAGTATGGACATTCTAACAATATTAAATTCTTCCAATCCATGAACACAGATATCTTTCCATGTATTTATGTCTTATCCAATTTCTTTCATCAATGTCTTACAGCTTCCAGTGTACAGATCTGTCACTGCCTTGCTTAAGTTTCTTCCTAAGTATTTTATTGGTTTTGATGCTATTGTAAGTGAGATCATTTTCATAATTTCTCTTTCAGATAATTCATCATTAGTGTGTAGAAACACTACTGACTTTTGTATGTTGATTTTGTGTCCTGCAACTTTACAGAATGCATTGATTAGATCTAATGGTTATTTGGTGGAGTCTTTAAGATTTTCTATATATAAAACCATGTCATCTGCAAAGAGAGACCATTTTACTTCTTCCTTTTCCAATTCTGACAGCTTCTATTTCTTTTTGTTGCCTGATGCCTCAGGCTAGGACTTCTAGTACTTTGTTGAATAGGAATGGTAAGAGAGGGCACCCTTGTGTTGATCCTGATCCAAGAAGAAAAACTTATAATTATTCACCATTGAGTATGATGCTACCTGTGGGCTTGTTATATGTGGCCCTGTTTGCTGACAGTTTTTACTATGAATGGGTGTTGAGTTTTTTCAAAAGCTTTTCCTACATTCATTGAGATGATCATATGATTTTTATCTTACATTATATATTTTTTTAGTTTTTTAAGGTTTATTTGTTTTTGAGATAGAAAGAGAGACAGAGCATGAGCAGGGGAGGGGCAGAGAGAACAGAGGCAGAACCTGAAGCAGGATTCCGGCTCTGAGCTGTCAGCACAGAGTCCAATGTGGGGCTCGAACTCACAAACTGTGAGATCACTACCTGAGCCAAAGACAGACACTTAACTGAGCAACCCGAGCATCCCTATCTCTCATTATATTAATGTGATGTATCACATTTATTGATTTGTGTATTTTGAACCAATCTTGTATGCCAGAGATAAATCCCACTTGATCACAATGTAAGGCTCTTTTTTTAAGCTTATTTATTTATTTTGAGAGACGGCACATGTACACAAGCAGGGAAGAGGAAGAGAGAGAGAATCCCAAGCAGGCCCCATGCTGTCAGTGCAGAACCCAACCCAGGACTTCATCTTCTGAACCATGAGATCATGACCTGAGCCAAAATCAAAAGTCGAACACTTAACCAACTGAGCCACCTAGGAGCCCCAATAGTGTAGCGTCCTTTTAATGTGCTGCTGGGTTCAGTTTGCTAGAATTTTCTTGAGAATGTTGGCATCTATGTTTATCAGGGATATTGGCCTGTATTTTTCTTTTCTTGTAGTGCCCTCGTCTGCCTTTGGTATCAGGGTAGGCTGGCCTGGTAGAATAGTTGGGAGTGTTCCCTCCTCTTCTATTTTTTGTAAGAGTTTGAGAAAGATTGGCATTCATTCTTCTTTAAATGTTTAATTCACCAGTGAGGCCATCTGGTCCTGGACTTTTTTTTTGTTAGGAAATTTTTGATTACTGATTCAATCTCCTTACTTAGTAATTGGTCTGTTCAGATTTTGTATTTCTTTCTGATTAGATCTTGGTAGGTTGTATGTTTCTAGGAATGCAGCCATTTCTTCCAGGGTGTCCAGTTTTTTGTCATATGAGTGTTCAGAGGAGCCTCTTATGATCCTTTGCATTTCCATGGGATCCGTTATTGTACCTCCTTTTTCACTTATAATTTTGTTAATTTGGATCCTCTCTCTCTTTTCCTTGGGAAGTCCAGCTAAAGGTTTGTCAATTTTGTTTGAAGGGTCAAAGATAGAACTCTTAGTTTGGTTAGTCTTTTCTATTGTTTTCCTATTCTTTATTTCATTTGTTTCTACTCTAATCTTTATCGTTTTCTTCCTTCTGCTGACTTTGGGCTTAGTTTGTTCTTCTTTTTCTAGTTACTTAAGGTGTAAAGTTAGGTGGTTTAGTTAAGGTCTTTCTATGTTCTTTTTTTTCTTTAAGGTTTATTTTAATGTTGAGGGAGAGAGACGGAGCGTGAGCAGGGGAGGGGCAGAGAGAGAGGGAGACACAGAATCTGAAGCAGGCTGTAGGCTCTGAGCTGTCAGCACAAAGCCCAACATGGGGCTCAAACTCATGAACCGTAAGATCATGACCTGGCCCAAAGTCAGATGCTTAACCAACTGAGCCACTCATGAGCCCCTCTTATTTCCTTGGCATGTGTGTTTATAGCTATAAAATTTCCTCTGAGAACTACTTCTGCAGTATCCCATAAGTTTTAGTACGTTATTTTTCCATTATTATTTGTCTCAAGATACTTTTTTATTTTCCTTTGAATTTCTTTTATGATCCATTAGTTGTTGAGGAAACTACTGTTTCATTTCCATGTGTTTGTGAATTTCTCAGTTCTCCTTCTATTACTGACTTCTAGTTTCATACCATTGTGGCCAGAGAAGACACTTGGTATGATTTCAATCTTCCCGAATTTGCCAAGACTTGTTTTGTGGCCTGACATATGATCTACCCTAGAAAATTGCTCTGTGTGTGCTTGAGAAAAATGTGTATTCTGCTGTTGTTGGAAAAATGTGGATTTTTCTTAATGACCAGATATGAGGGCTGAGAGAGAAGCTATCTGACGCCACGATGATGAATTACTTGGGAAACCAGGAGCCAGAGGGAAAGCAAGTGAAGAGAACTGGTTCCTGTTAAGACCCTCATTAGCCAGGTGATTTACACATGTTCTCATTACACCTTGCTTTTATGAAGGAGGAAACTGGGGCTCAGCGGTTAAGTGACTTGTCCAAGGTCACACAGTAAGTGGCAGAACTGGGATTTGAACCCAAGTCGGCCCAGTTCTGAAGGCCAAGTTGAGCCCCTTAACAGAGGGCTCAACAGCATCAGGGGATGGGCTGGTAATAGGCAGATGCTCAGTGGCTGGGTTCTGCCTTGAACAACTTAGATATTCCCTCAAGTCTCCCCCTGTGAATTCCACAAGGGAGAGAGTAAGAGCCAGGCCTACAGTGGTGATGGTTATCAGTGGATGTGCTTTTAACACGGTAATTAGCATGGGGGCCTAATGAGCATGTGGTTGACAATTTCAGTTCCCCGGGGCAGGAGAGACCGGAGCCACAGACATCTAGCTGCAGTTACCATTTATTGAGATACATCACAGGCACAGACAGGGGAGGTGGGGTGGGTAAATTTGGAAAGGGATTGGGGGTTGGTGGGAGCCTGGGGAGGTTGAAAGGCCTTCGGGGACCATTCCCAACTTCCCTCCTTCCTCCCCCAGCCTGTCCCGAGTGCACAGCAGACAAGCAGAGGAACTGAGGGAAATCTAGCCTCCTCTCGGTTGTCAAAAGATCACTCCCAAAGCACTCAAATACATCACTCAAGATGGTAGCCTTAACCCCCGCCCCCCTCCCATCACATTGCAGAAGCAAGGAGAAAACCTGGGCAGATTTGAGCCTTCCCAAAATGCAGATCACGTGCAAAGAGTCTGGCATGCAAGTAACCCTGGACCTGTGGTCCGGGGGCTGTTCCCGCTCCTATGGAGGTAGGCAGGGAGGGCAGCAGAGGTGCGGTGAGTAGAGCAAGGAGAAAACGGCAGGAGCCCCGCTTGCGAGGCTGGGCAGCTAATACCTCCGGCTGGACGTCTTGACCGTGGTGGTCTTCCGCAGGATGGAGGTACCCCCAGAGACGGGCCCTCCCTTGGTGCTGTAGCCCACACTGGTGCTGAACCCGCCCTTGCCGGCACCCCCACTCCCGCCCAGGGACATGCCACCCCCGAAGCCGGCGGCACCGCTTCCGCACACAGTGGTGGAGTTGCCAGTCACCGCTGCAAGACAAAGGGTCTGGGTGAGGTAGGGCAGCCGCGCTGGAGGAGGGCCGGGGACTTGGAGAAACCAGTGAGGGACAGCAACAAACGCAGGCCGTGGAGCCATGGAACACTGATGGAGAAGGTGGGGCGGGAAGCTCATTCTTTGGGAACCCCCTAACTGGTCTCCAGGGGCTCAGGCGGGGGGAACATGGGCTCCCGGCCAAGGATAGATTGAGTGGACTGAGCAGAGGACGGAGCTGGGCCTGGGGCAGGGGAAGGCAGCAAAATACTCACAAATGCTGACTGCACTGGGGCACTCTCCAGACATCCTGCAGAAACAGAAAGACCAGAAGGGTCAGGGGTCCCCGGAGCCCAAGCGAAAACCCTCTGTCTCCCCGACTCCCTCCTTCCCACTCTCTGCCTTTACAATGGGTCAACTCAGTGGGTCATCTCTCGAGCCAGGGCCCGCAAGACAAGACCAGGAGACACGAGAAACACGTCGTGGCCCTTCCAGCCGCTGCTGCAGAGAAAGCAGAGCCAGGGCGAGCCAAGTGGCCCCGTCCTGCGCCGTCCGCACTTCCCTCTGCACGCACACCACGGACAGCAAACAGCCCATGCCAAAAGACACCCAGTTTCTGGCTGAGGGGAATTTCTTTACATCTCGTGCCTTCCCAAGGACAGAGATGATTCATTTTTTCTCGAAGCTCCAAAGGTGGTGGCACCTGGTGTTGGAAGGAGAAGGCTCACTCTTACAGGGATTCCAGACACCCTAAGGATTACCGATGGCTGTGCCAACCGAGGAAACGCGTGGCAGAGGCGGTCAAGCTCTCCCCCAGGGCAGGGCTGGGAAGCCCTCTGAAGCAGGAGGGGCCCCCACCTGCTCTCCTCGCTCTCCAGCAACTTGCGGTAGGTGGCAATCTCCACATCCAGGGCCAGCTTGACATTCATGAGGGCCTGGTAGTCACGCAGCAGCCGGGCTAGGTCCTCCTTGGCCTGGTGCAGGGCCGTGTCCAGGTCCCCAAGCTTCTTCTGAGCATCCTTCAGCGCCAGATCCCCACGCTGTTCCGCTTCTGCGATGGCAGTCTGCAGTTGCTGGCACTGCCCAGGGGATGAGAGGGGTTGGGGACACCCTCCAGGGTCATCACATCCACCTCTCTGCCCTCAAACCAGACGTCACCATCCCCCACCACCCCACCCACCCTGACTAACCGAGCTGGAAAGAAAGCAGAAATATTCCTCTGAGAGAAGAAATACTATTACACAAGCAGGGTCTTGTGGCACCACTGGGGAAGTCCTTACTGAAGTCTAACCTTAGCCTTTCCTGCTGCAACTCAACCCAGTGCCTCAAAAGAGATAAAATAAATAATGTAACCTCACCGTTCACCAGGTGCTTCACCCTGATACGGGGGAAAGCCCTTGCTTTTTTTTTTTTTTTTTTTTTTTTTTTTTTTTTTTTTTTTTTTTTTTTCAACGTTTATTTATTTTTGGGACAGAGAGAGACAGAGCATGAACGGGGGAGGGGCAGAGAGAGAGGGAGACACAGAATCGGAAACAGGCTCCAGGCTCCGAGCCATCAGCCCAGAGCCCGACGCGGGGCTCGAACTCACGACCGCGAGATCGTGACCTGGCTGAAGTCGGACGCTTAACCGACTGTGCCACCCAGGCGCCCCAAGCCCTTGCTTTTTTAGCCACGCCCTGAATGGAATCAGCATCTAGGACCTGAACACTTGAACCCTCAGCCTCCTGCTCTGACCCCCTGGACATGGGACCAACCTCCTTGGAGGACGTTGTCCCAACTGCTCTACCACTAATATGCCATGTGGCCTTCCCCAGTCCTCAGTTTCCTGTCCTGTAAAAGGAGTACATTGATCCAGCGTTTGAGTGTGTCCCATCCATCAGGAGAAGAGCAGCTCTGACCCCCTCAGCATGACAGTGAGAAGGTCCCCACCTCCGCCAACCCAGGCCTGACCCCCAGGCTCCCAGCCAAAGGCTCACCTGCTTCTTAACTGCATCCACCTCACCCTGCAGCCTCTGGACAGTGCGGGTGAGCTCAGCAATCTCGTTCTTAGTGTCCCGCAGGTTGTCCCCATGCTTCCCGGCTGTCACCTGCAGCTCTTCATACTAGAGACCAAAAAGGTGGCTGTTGTGAGCTGTCAGTTCCCGGCCCTCCTGGGTGACTAGGGGCCCTGCGGAGGCTGGGTGTGTCTGGCCCCAGGCCTCTCACGATGGGGGATGTTCTGTGTCCAGTCCCAGCCCATACACCTGACCGGCCATTCTCCTCACCTTGGTCTGGTACCAAGCCTCAGCCTCAGCCCTGCTCCTCTGGGCAATCAGCTCATACTGGGCCTTGACCTCAGCAATGATGCTATCCAGGTCAAGTCTGCGATTATTGTCCATGGAAAGGATGACATTGGTGTCAGACACGTGGGTCTGCACTTGGCTCAGCTCCTGCAGAAAAAGAGAGAGCTGCCAGCAGTGCCCCTGCTCCAGGCCCCCAGGAGACAGCTGAAGGGTGAAGGATGGGGTCCCCAGGTGGCATCAGGAGGCCTGTGCCCTGCCCCAGGCTCCAGCCTAGAAGGAAACGCATCATTCTCCCCGGCTGTGAAATGGCGCTCTCATTTTGGTAAATACCATTTCTTTCTGTGCATTTACAAGTTTCCAAGAGATTAAAGAAGGGGAAAGAATGCATACTTACTGCCCTCAACCCTGGTGCCAGGCATTCGGCCAGCACGTCCACCAGTCCCTTTCATCATCAGAAAGCCCTGGGAGGCAGGCAAGGCCATGACTGGCGCACAGGGTGCTTTTGTCAAGTTGGGAAAAGTCTCCCCTCTGAATGGAAGCAGCTGGTGGGGCCCAGGGAGCTGACCGTGGGCCTGATTCGAACCCCACTCTCCACTCAGCCAGTTAACAACCTGCACCATCATTCACGGTGGTCCTGACGGAAGTTGGTGAGGAAAGAGTCTTGGAGAAGAGAAGTGACACATCCAAGGTCATCCAGTCCTGTCCTGGAGCCCAACTGGAACCAGTCAGTTGAGCGACAAATCCCAAATTGTTTCCTCTAGAATATACTGACATTTATAGACCATGGTGATATTCTTGGACCCTTCCTGGGTTTCTAGGACCATCAACTTTGACATATAAACAGGCATTTAAAGATGTCATGAACAGCAGCTTAGTTTCTGTGTTCTGGCTTTGGGTTCAGCTCTATCGCTACGCCATGTGCATTGGCTCCCAGCTGAGCTCTGCCTCCGTCTCTCCCATGGTCCTTCCTGCCCTGGGCTCCCAACAAACTGCCCAAACCCCAGCGCCAAACAAATATCTCATCCAGAGACGCCAGGGTGGTTTAGTAGGTTGAGCATCTGACTCTTGCTTTTGGCTCAGGTCATGACCCCAGGGTCATGAGATCAAGCCCCACATCAGGCTCTGCACTGAGTGTGGAGCCTGCTTGAGATTCTCTCTCTCTCTCTCTCTCTCTCTCTCTCTCTCTCTCCCTCTTCTCCTCTCCCCCACTCACTCTATCTCTCTCTCTAAAATTAAAAAAAAAAAAATGTGGGATGGGTGAAGAGGAAGGGGTGAACATCCATGCTGCTCCCCAAACACAAGGCGCTCTATGCTGCCTCCGTGTCACTGTGCAGGCTGGACCCTGGCTAGCAGGCCCTTCCTGCTCTTCCTTTAGAATTCCTGCCCTTCCCTCAAAATTCGTCTCAAATCCCGTCTCTTCTGAAGCTCCCACAGCTCTCCCAGGAAGAATCAGGCGCAGCCTGCTCCATATACCTTGTCTCTGTCCCAGCACGGCCTCACCACATGGTAACTGGAGATACAGGGCCCCCAAAGCAGGGACTTTGTCCTTCTGGTGCCATGTGGAAGCTACTCAGTAATATGTGTTAAATGAATAAGGGACCGCAAAGGAAAGAAACACTGAGCATGCAGACATGGGTCTTAGTAAGAAAGCCAATTGTTGTCCATTCAGAGAAGAGGGGGTGGGCACCGTTGACCTGGCCCAAAAGCAAAAAGAATCTAAGAGAGGAGAATGAGGAATCCGCAAGCAATGAATGACCATCAGTGGTCCAGCAAGGAAAAAAGTGGGGAGGCACCTAGGAAATCATCATGATGGCACAGAACACTCCCCAACAAGTTCCATTCTGACAGGGCAGATGGAGATGTTGGAAGGAGAAAAACACAGCCATGGATGAGCCAGGGGAAATGCTGAGGCCAGTAGACAAGGGCTGTAGGTAAGCTCTAGGTGAAAAGAACAGAGAAGCAGCATTGGACTAACCCAAAACACCAATAACTCAACTGCTACGTCATTTGGCTCTTTCCCATCAAAGAGAACAATCATCAACCTAGAAAGAGCAGCATGATGGAGAAGAAATGGAAAACCAAGACAGACACAGAGAGTATGAGAGGCCTTGGCCTTGTTGGGGATCTCAGGGGTCCAGGCCAAAGGAGCATATCCTAGAAGGCCATGGCATTGCCAAGGGGATGAACACTCCCAGAGATCCACGAGAAATATGGAGAGTAGGACAGGTTCCAGAACCCCAGACACGGCAAATGTCCTCATCTTTGAGGGGATGATATTTAGACTTTTTCAACTTAAACTTGATGTCAACTTCCTATGAACCTCTAGAAATACAAAATATAAGTAAGAGGCAAGGAGCCAGCAAGACTTCCCTAAGGAAAGGCCAAGCCAAATGGATTTCACTTTCTACTATGGTTGTCTTACTAAAATGCTAAGGGACCGTTACAGATATTGCTTGACCAACGACTTCTTGAACACAAGACAGAAAGATGTGGGCCAGATAATGATGTGGTCACCTAGATTTTACAGTAGCTGAGCCACGTGAACCATAAATTATTGATTGGTGGAGTGAGGTCAGCCTGGGAGAAAGGCACCACTGAAGGCCTAGGTCTTGCACTAGGACTCCGTTCTTGGCCCCGTCTGCTTTAATGTGCTTACCAGTCACTTACACCGAAATGTTATCACCCCACTGAACTGAAAGTTGACCAGGTCCACAGGGAACCCAAAGCTGGGGCATCATCAATAAATATGTCCAATTACCCAACTGGGTATCTCCAACATATGGATGGGGGAAATCAAGTTTCAAAGTGTCCAATAGTGTCTAGTTGCCCAGACAATGGGATGAAACCACAATGACATTTCACAGGAGAAATGGGACTCATTAACTCTTTGGTTACAAAAATTCAACGGCCAACTTCCTGTCTTTGGAAGCTGGAAGCAAACAGATACATACCTCACTTGAAAGCACTCATGTGAAAAACTCCAGGGTTTTTATGAAGGATCAAATATCGTGAAGTGACTTCTAAAGATGACACATAAACTAGTGCGACATTAGGCTGCAGGAATGCAAGTCCGTAACCGCCCTCCCTACCTCCCCTGTTTTCCAAAGTCTGAGATCAGAACCCTATTTCCTCAGCTTCCTCAGATGCCACAGATGGCAGTCACCCAAGCATCCTGACCTCTAAAGTGCTGCCATATGAAAGACACATGCCACACGGATGTGTGCAGCCTGGAGGGCAGAAGCAGGCCCAATCAAGAACAGAAGTCACGGGAAGAAGATTGAAGTCAGCTTTCTAATTTGATCAACAATGAAAATGTCTGCCCTAAAAATAGTGAGTTCCCTGCCACTAAAAGCATTCAAGTCGAGACTACATGACTCCTATCAGCGATGTTTGAGGAAGGGCTCCAGCATGGAGGGGAAGGGGGGCCACGAGGTACCTTCCAAGTCTGAGTCTGAGATGCTAGGATCAACTCAGGTTAACTTCAGCCCTCTTAGCCTGGTCTTCAAAGCCCCTTGTTTCCTGGGACCCGGCCTGGATTCTACAATCTACCCACTACCCATACCTCAACTCCCGAGCCAACCTGGAATCTCCATCCCCTCTCTGTCCATCTCTGCTCCTCCAACCCTTGCTCCATTACAAATGGTCTAGAAGGAAAACGGTCTAACACAGGAATAAGAGTCAGACTTTGAAGAAGTCCAAGAACCAGGCTTTATTTCCAGCACTGCATCTAACTAGCTATGTAACCATGAGGAAGCTACTCTGAGCCTCAGTGTCCCTGACTATAAAATGGAAACAATAATGGTATCTATATTGTGGCTTTGTTGAGAGGATCATATAAAGCTTAGCCCAGTGTCTGACCCATCCTTAGCACCTGATACATGGAAGCCTGTATTAATTAAAGGCCCAGGTTCTATATTCCCTCAATTAAATTGCACTGATGAATTCAGATCAGACCTGCGGGGGAATCCCCAATGCCATATGTAAATGTAATTGTCTCTGTCCATTGCCATCTCACCAGTTCATAGAGGTGGTTTAGGAAGTCGAGCTCCTCGGTCAAGGTGCCTACTTTGCCGTGTAGGTCCATCCGGCTCATGTACGCAGCATCCACATCCTGGGGGCAAGAGAGACAGCAGGGCAGATGCCTCAGCCCCCAGGACTCTCACCTCCCTCTGAGTCAGCCCAGCACCCTGGCAAGCCCAAAAACCACCTCCCCCACTCCCTGCCACCCTGCTCACCTTCTTGAGCACCACAAACTCGTTCTCTGCTGCAGTGCGCTTGTTGATTTCATCCTCATACCTGTTACACAGGAAGACTCAGGCCAGGCTCAGCCAGGTTCTGCCTTTTGGGACATTTAACCCACTCGGCTTTAAGCCCCGTTGGGTCCCACTTTATCTAAGAACACCTTTGAGAAGGAGTTCTGTAATACAGCCCACCAGTGAAGAAACTTGGGGTACAGTCTTTAAATATTCCTGCCCCGCCCCCCTTTGAGGAAATGGACACAGAATTTGTGCAATAATATGGCGACCAAGAACAACTATCTCTTTGGATCAGAGCCCTGAGGAGGCTTTTATAAGAACAGGCAAAGATGTGTCCACAGTGGCTCATCTTTGCTTTCACTTTCAACAGACGGGACATCTTTTAAAACAACTAACTTCTCTCCAACTGCTTTTGCTGAGACTTGAAGGGTTAGAAATTGCCAGTATCGAGTTATTGGAAAAGTTATGAAAGATTGGGCCCTAAAATGACAAATATACATATCAACTGATCATAATATGTGAACTTTATTTGGGTCTTGATTCAAACAAACTGTATTTTTAAAACTTAGGACACGTATGGACAATTGGAAATTCATAATGAATGGACAGTTGATGATATTGAAGAATTACTCTTTTGAAAGTTTTAGGTGTGTGAGGTGTCTAGGTGGCTCAGTCGGCTAAGCGTCCAACTTCAGCTCAGGTCACGATCCCACGGTTCATGATTTCGAGCCCCACGTCGGGCTCTGTGCTGATAGCTCAGAGCCTGGAGCATGCTTTGGATTCTCTCTCTCTCTCTCTCTCTCTCTCTCTCTGCCCCTCCCCTGCTGGCACTCTGTCCCTGTCTCTCTCTCAAAAATAAAACAAACATTAAATTTTTTTTTTAATTTTTAAAGTTTTAGGTGTGATTATGGCATTGTGTTTATGTTTTATTAAGTCAAGTTATGCAGATAGGCTCTATGAATATAACCAGCAAATATTTGTGAATGGAATCACACGATGGCTGGGATTTGCTTCAAGACAATAAGGTAAGGGAAAAATCAAGTAGATGTAGAAATAAAACAAGATGGGCTACGAGTTAAGAATTATTAAAGTTGAGTAATGAGGACATAAATGTTCATTGCACTGTCCCCCCTACCTTAGAGTTTTTACAATGAGGAACAATACACAAGTAAGTGGGACAATTCTCCAGGACGCAATGGGTCCAGAGCCTGGACACCCAAGGGGAGTAGCTCTGTCTGGGCACTGCCCCGGGTGGGTCCCAGGAGCCTGGGAATGGGGTGATTTCCCACGCTGTCCCCTCCCCACCCCCACAAGCTCCCAGCCTGTCCAGTCCTCCTTACTTGCTCTTGAAGTCCTCAAGGAGATCCTGCACATTTCTCAGCTCTGAGTCCAGCCTCCCCCGATCGCTCTGGAGGCTGTCCAGCTGCCTCCGCAGGTTGCCCAAGTAGCTCTCAAAGAGGGGCTCCAGGTTGTTCCTGGTGACACCCGTGTTCTGGCCCTGCTCCTGCAGCAGTGCCCACTTGGTCTCCAGAACCTTATTCTGCTGCTCCAGAAACCGCACCTGAGCCAGAGCAAGAAGGGTGGTGGGCTGGTACCATTCCTCTGGTCCCAGGAGGGACCCAGGACTGGGCCCATCACCACCACCCATCTCCGACCAGGACATCACAGGGCCAGTGCAGACTACACATTGCCAAGGGGAGGAGTTCCTGAGAAAACATTCTTTGCTGGAAAAAGACAGTCCAATCCAATGACAAGACTCTAAAGAGTTAATAAATCATCAAAGCCCCAGCTCAGTCATTTGGTGGTTGGTGATGGTCAAATCACTTCTCTCTGCATCTCCCTTTCCTACTTACACTGATTACACTGGACTAGATCAATGTTTGTGAACCCTCATTCTGCATCAAAATCATCTGTTAAAAATGCAGATGATGGGGGCACCTGGGTGGCTCAGGCAGTTAAGTGTCCAACTTCAGCTCAGGTCGTGATCTCGCGGTCCGTGAGTTCAAGCCCCGCATCAGGCTCTGTGCTAACAAGCTCAGAGCCTGGAGCCTGTTTCGGATTCTGTGTCTCCCTTTCTCTCTGCCCCTCCCCCGCTTGCACTCTGTCTCTTTCTCTCTCAAAAATAAACATTAAAAAAAATTTTTTAATGCAAATGCATATATACTGTATGTGAATGTATGTATGCATATATACAAACATGTATGTATGGACGTGTGGACACACACACATATACAGAGAAAGCAAATGTGACAAAATGTAAACATTGGTGAATCTAAAGCAAAATAAGTCCGTCAGAGAAAGACAAGACCATATGATTTCACTCATGTGTGGAATTTAAGAAACAGAACAAACAAGAAAAGAAAATAGAAAGAGAGAGAAACCAAGAAACAGACTCTTAACTCGAGAGAACAAGCCGATGGTTACCAGAGAGGAGGCGGGTGAAGTAGGGGACAGGGTCTGAGGAGGGCACTTGTCATGATGAGCACAGGGTGATGTATAGAGCTGTTGAATCACTATACTGTTCACCTGAAGCTAATATAACACTGTAGGTTAACCGTATTGGAAATAAAATTAAATTTTAAAAATGGGTGCATCTGGGTGAAAAAATAGTTAGAAATATTTTGTACTGTGCTTGTAACTTTTCTGTAAATTTGACATTTTTTTTTTTAAATTTTAACTCTAGATGCCCAGTCCTATCTCTAAAGACTTAGAAGGGAGCTCAGGGGTGGGCTCTGGGGGGCTTCTCTGCCCGGCTGACAGGGACAACCACACAGACCACGTCCTAGACTGTGATGCTGAGAGCCTGGGAGAGGTTTTTGCTTGTCTGACCTCTGGGACAGTCCCACAGGAGGACCAAAAGTCACTAGGGGAGAAGGTGAGGAGGTGGGCGGAATAGCTTGCTTCACCTTCCACCATCTGGTTTCTCCAGGTCCCACCTCCACAGCACCCCAGGCCCTAAATCACATGGCCTGGGAACCATGCATCAGGTGCACCTGCCATGAGCGGTGACAGGGCCTCTTAATGCCAAGGACCATAGGGCCCATGAACCTGAGTTTCAGGCCCACCTCTGCCTCCAAGTATCCGTGTGAGCCTGGGAAAATCTCTTGACCCCTCTAGACTTCTGTTTTCTCTTCTTTAAAATAGACACAATATCACCTATTCTGATTCCTCATGGGACACTGTAGGTTTCACGTCAGAAAAGGACATGAATGTTCTCTGGGAACCCACACATCACTGAACCAAGGTGTGGTCATCCGCCATGATTTTCCCCATCATGGTCCCTCTACCTGGGGGGTTGGAGTAGAAGTAGACGATACAGTGAAATGGACCTGAAAATGCCGGAGGGCAGTACAAGAGCCACGCGGTCAGCCTGGAGGCCAGGGAAAGAGTCAGGACGCCCCCGATCTGGAACAGACCAAACTCTATACCCCTAGCTCTGGTGACCACCCTCTTCACCGTCCATCCCCACTTGACCTTCTTGGCCAGAAGAGCAAGTAGGAATAGAAGAGAAAGGTGACTTCTCCCAGGACAACCCCCTCTATCGCGCCCAATCACATCTTTGTCCTTAGGCCTTCTCCAAAACTGAGAGAACAGGAAACAGATGGGACTCCTTGGATAACATGTGTGACCTTTGAGCCAGTTTTCCCAGCGGTGAAATGACAAGAGGCCATAAGGACCACCCTGTTAAGAGGAGCAGTGAGGACAGTCTGCTCCTTCACTGTGGGATAGGCTGCTGTGTGACCGTGTTAATGATGGCCAGGGAAAAGGCTGCACCACAGTCAAGGTGGGCTTGGCCGCAGACCTCCTGAGCAGAATTGAGATTCACCTGAGCAATGACAGTAACATCCAGAAGACTGTCTCCAGCCATCCACGTCTGGGCATCCCAGGCGCAGGCGGGAGAGCTCTAAAAGTCATTCCATCAACCCCACCACACTGCACATGGGCTACATCAGCCTCTGCCCAGCCCACCCTCTCTTAGGGACCCTGCTTCTACTCCAAGGGCCCCTCCCGGCCTCCTTCCACCCAGGCTCACCTTGTCGATGAAGGAGGCGAACTTGTTGTTGAGGGTCTTGATCTGCTCCCGCTCCTGGGTACGAACCCGCTGGATCTCCGGGTCTATCTCCACGTTGAGAGGGGTCAGCAGGCTCTGGTTGACAGTGACCTCCTGGATGCCTCCGGGAGGACAGGCAGGCCCGAATGTCTGCCTGCCGGCGCCCAGGCCCCCATAGGCCCCACCGCCAAAGCCGAAGCCCCCCAGGGCCCTCCCTGAGGAGGCCCCTCCAGCCACACTGACCGAAATGCTCTTGCTGCCCCCCAAGTTATAGAGGCTTCGGCTGCCAAAGCCCCCCTTGCTGGGGCCACAGCGGGTTCCCCCGGCACTGCCACTGCTCCGGGACACCGTCACCGAGCTGAAGCTGGTGTGGGCCCGGGACCCGCCTCCTCCACCTGCAGAGTTAGAGCTAAAGCCTCCTTTAGTGGAGTATGTCTGCCGAGACATAGAGGACCTCATGGCTGTCAGAGGGGCCGGAGCACAGGCTGAGAGAGCTGTGAGGGAACGCAGTGAGCTTCTGTGACACTGAAGGGCTTTTTATCTTTTCCCGGTTGGGCTGGCTCCTGGGATCCACAGACACTCCTGCCCCATTGCCCCAGGAAGAGAGGGAGGGGCCCCGGGGGCCAGGGGAGTCCCCTCTCCCCCAGTGGGAGGGAGGAGCTGCCCAGTTATCACCTGTGCTCCAGAGCTGGGGCTGAGCCCAGACCGTGTGGGGCAGGATGCCACCTTCTCCCCCCGGGGCTCTCCTGACTTGGAACAGGATGATACAGTCTCCCACGGCCACCCCCACCACCCAGTGGCTGGCTTGGTCTCCTCCTACTCAGCCCTGATGGCCGCCATCAATGGGGCTCTGTTCTGTGGGATTTGGCCCAGGCCCCTGTCGTAAGCCAAGGCCCCAGGGCCCATGGCTGCACAGGCGGTAAGGGAAGGAACATTGAGCAATGGGCTGGGGAGAGGGTGCCCAGGCCTGCTCCAGTCCCAGCCTCCCAACCCACGGCCTCACTGCCTCCTGGCAGGTCCAGGGTGGGGGGCACAGGTGACAGAGCGGGGGCGGGAGCAGTCTGCTCTTCAGTCATACACGGGCAGATGGTCTGCTGGGTGGGGTCCCTGAGACCAGGGAGATGAGTGGGGAAAAGCACATTCTTCTAGGGACCGAAGAGAGATGGAGGGCTTTGACCATCACCTGAGACCCCCCAACCCTCTGCCCTGCAGCTGAGCATCCCCAGAAGGGCCCAGCCACTTTGGAGGGGGCTGGAGGCCCCATTCGGACTGGACATAAGTACAGATCTGAGAAGTATGTGTCCAACAAAGACCACAAGAGGCCCACGGGGCGTCCCAACATTCTCATCTTCCCAGCCCCCAAGGATCCTGATGCTTGAATCCCAAGGGCCGGAGGCTTTTCAATCACTTCACACAGTCCCAGGCACAGCCCCAAAGGAAGACTTGGAGGTGTCAGCCATTAGGACTGAGACAACGTCGTCGAGGAGGTGACTTCAGAGATGTCCCTCCTCCCCGCTTGAGCTTTTAGCTGGAAAACTGGAAAATGGGCCCAGAGAGGTGAGAGAAACTCGCTTGAGGGAAGGAGCAGACGCAGTGCTTGCCGTGCTTCTCCCACAGTGGCTGGGCAGGGAGCTGGGGCTGTGGCCACTTGTGTCCCCAGGATCCCGAAGGAAAGGACATGGCCTGCTCCACAACCCAAGGAAGTCAGGCGGAGAGCGGGCCCACTCCAGGCCCAGGGGAGGCTGTGGGACTCTTTCCCAGGACCACTGTGAGAGGCTGCAAGTTAGGTCAAACCCAACACCCAGGAGGGATGGGGTGAAGGGCACTCAGAGAACTAGACCCTTACTGCCCAAGAGAGGCTCTTCCTCCCTGCTGGGAGCTCGGATACAAGGCACTGGGGCAAGCCAGGCTGGGACGGAATCCCCACTGAGCTGTGTGTCCTGGGGCTGCTCTCTCAACCTCGCTGGGCCTCCTTTGCCTCTGCCTATAAGCAGAGCCCGCAGGGGAAATCCTTTCAAAAAGCCTTGGCCAGCCATCCCAGGACTGAGCCATTACTTCCCACTGACCTTTGCCTGCAGTCCCCGAGGCTGTGATCACTTTCTCAGCCTCCTTTATCTCTCCCTGCAGGGGTGTGGGAGGGGGAAGGTGGGAGGGGATGCGGGGAGTGGGGCTTCTGGGGAAGGTGGGGAAGGGAGTGATGTCAGCCATCTGAGTCAGGGCAGCCGGGGAGGTGGGAGTAGCTTCGGCCACAAACAAACATTCCACCGCTCCCCAGGAACGACAGCCTCATGTCATTGACCTGGCACGCTGAGCCAGGCTTTGTGCTGAAAGCTGGTGACAGACAGCGGCACAGGCCGCCCAGGGCTTGTTCTCTGAGTTACTGCTTGGAGACATGCTCCCTCCTAGGCAGTGGGGGGGATGGGGGGCTCACGGGTCCCAACCCAGCCACCGTTGGGACCTTCTTCTTGGGGCCTTGACTGTCCTCTCTGCTTTCATACTGAACACCCAAGCTTAGACCTTCTTTCTGTGGCTTAGGAATCGCTTCCTCCCCTCTGCTGCCGCTCCAACCAAGGGCTTCTGTGTCTGCAGACTGTCACCTGCCTGGGGTCCCCCCTCTCCCCCGCTGTGGCAGGACACAAGAGCAGAGGGGATGGCAGGCTGCCGCAGGAGGGACAAGGTAAGATGGCTGATGGTGTCAGCTGAGCACCCAACATAGGCCAGGCTGGGGACAGAGCGGTAGGAAAGATACGGGTGCCAGGCACCTGCGTGGCTCAGTCCATTAAGTGTCTGACTCTTGATTTTGGCTCAGGTCATGATCTCATGGTTCGTGGAGCTGGGCTCTGGGCTGATAGTGGGGAACCTGCTTCAGATTCTCTCTCTCCTTCTCTCAGCCCCTCCCCCCTCAAAATAAATAAACTTTTTTTTAAAATTTTTTTAATGTTTATTTCTGAGAGAGAGAGAGAGACAGCGTGAGCCGGGGAGGGGCAGACAAGGAAGGAGACACAGAATCCGAGGCAGGCTCCAGGCTCTGAGCTGTCAGCACAGGGCCCAATGCGGGACTGGAACCCACGGACCGCGAGATCATGACCTGAAACGAAGTCGGACACTTAACCGACTGAGCTACCCAGGTGCCCCTCAAAATAAATAAACAAACTTTAAAAAGGAAAAAAAAAAAGAAAGATACGGGGTAAAGAAAACACTTGCTGCCCTTGGGAGCCCTCATACAAGGATAGGACTTTCTAAACTAACAGCAATGGTTCTTATAATCAGCATTTACTGAGCACTTCCTACGTGGCAGACACATCAGTGCAGTAACACATCTCACGTCCATGATGGGTAGGCTCCGTCCACCTCCTTCCTGCCCCAGATCAGTCATCTACCTTCTAGACCCTTGTAGGTTGCTCCCTCGCTCTCCGGCTTCCAGGTGGGTTGGCCAAGGCAGAGGGGATGGGGGGCGGGAGGTGGGGTCAGTAGGAGATCTGGGAGAGAGGAAGGGAGGACTGGTATTTCTCCCCAGCCTCTTCCATGATTATGGCTTCTTCCAAGTGATCCCCCCAAGAGTCCCTGCTCCTGTCTCATCTGTCACTCCTTCCTCCTGTCTTTTGGCTCTACACCGGGTGGCCTCCTCACCCTGGTTCTTCCAGGATTGTCCTTATTTAGCACTGAAAGCCCCACGTCTTGGAAAAAGGCTCAGTCCTGGACAAACCACTAGCCTCGCTATCTCTGGGGATGGCAGTGGCTTCCCACTGCTCCCAGCCTCTGGGCCCCTCCATCCTTTCTGTGTCCTTAGCCACGCCCACACCTCCATAGGTACTCCTTTCATTAAAGTCCATTTAGCCGACCTTTCGGGTGAATTTCGTTTCCTGCTGGGACGCCAAATGGCACACCCCTCCGCCAGCCCTGTGAGGCAAGCGCTGTTATTAATCTCTTTCCACGGATGAGGAAACTGGAGAGGTTCCACAGCTTGGTCAAAGCCACACCACTAGTAAGTGGCAGAGCTGGGACGCAAGCCCAGGAATCCTGGCTCCTGAGCTGTGTACCCCCAACCCCTGTCTCCCTTAAAGAAGGCTCAAAAGCTTCCTTCTCAGACATTTTTGGTGGAGATGGTCTGAGAAAAGGGCTGACCTCCCCTTAAAACTGGGATGGGGGTTGGGGAATGGCCTGACTTCCTGTGGCCAAGACCATGGAGTTTGGTGTTAGCCACATAGGGAGGGAGGAGACAAGAGGAGCCGTGTAGGAGCCAGCGGGCTGCTGGGGTAGGGGCCCGGGTGGAGAAGGTGACCCTCCCCACCCTCTTAGCATCTGGCCCTGATGCCCACACTCCTGGCCTCCTGCAGAGCTTCCCACTGAAGAGGGAAGAAGACTTTTCCAGTCTCATGTTCAGACAGGCCCAGTGGTGGGATGAGAGTCAAGAGGTAAGGGGATGGGCTGAGTTTCAGTCCCAAGTGCCCACCAGAGCCCCCCTGCACAAGCCGAGCAGCTGGTCCCCAAGCAAGAGTGCAAGAGTGCAAGAGAAGCAAGGGTGCAAGAGAAGAACTTGCCCATGGGTCCCAGGCTAATGGGAAAACCTGGGTCCCAGGCAAGAACCAGACAGAGACAGAGCCAAGGATAGCTACGGGTACAGCCAGGCTGGGCCGGGGACAGAAAGGGTCTGGCGCATTCAGACCGAGGGAATTAGAGAAGGTTTCCAGGAGGAGAAAAATCCGGTGCAGGCATGGGAAGAAGGAAGAACAGGGATGAGGGGCTGTGTTCAGTCAGGAGTACAGCCAATTTACCAGGGAACAAGCTAGAAGAGATACTGAAACATCAGCAGAGATGGAGGGAATGAAGGACATCCCAGGGAGCAGAGCAGAGGGCTAGAAGGAGCCCCCCGATGAGCTGATTGGGATGAGGTGTGGGATGCCCGTTGGATATTCCCAAACAGTGATCGATATTTCCCAGGTTGACTTCTGCGGAGAGCGTGGGCTGGGCAGCAGGCCTGCTTCTGTTTTACTGGGTGAGGTGCAAGCCTGGGGGTCGAGCTGAATTGCCAGAGGGAGTGGCAGAGAGACTGCACACCGCCACAGGGCACCTTCATCTCTGCCCTTCAGCCTCCCCTCTAAATGCCCTGGGATCACCTGTTTAAAGCTAGTGCTTAGCATCACTGCTGAATTGTTAATCTCCTGGGGGCACTGCTGTCCAGGAGAAGGGCCAGGTTAAAGCTCAGAGATGAGGTGGGGCTGAGGCAACAGGATCCAGCTTGCTACCTCGGATGGAGCTGGAGCCAGCGTGTCCCTGGAGGAGACTGTACAAAGGGGCAGGACACAGAGGGAACTTCACCAGAAACCCCCATCCCCCAACGGAGGCTGTCTGAATTAGCTACAGGAGGCTGGCCTCTGGCCCTGGTAACCAAGGCCTCTGGAAGGACGATCTGGCTCTCATGGGTGGGAGGGGTTATGTTGGAGAACCCAGAAACTGAAGGGGATGGGGAAGATGCTGAACCCCGGGGGCACCTGGCTGGCTCCGTCTATGGAGCATGTGACTCTTGATCTTGGGGTCATGAGTTCGAGCCCCACATTGGACATAGAACTTACTCAAAGAGAGAGAAAGAGAGACTGAACCCATTAGGAGGGCAGGCTGGAATTGATCCAGCTTGCCAGCATAGCCCAGTCCTGGCACAGTGCCTCAAGTATGGTTTGCACTCAGTAGAATTCGTGAAAGGGAAAGAGTGGGAGAGGGGAGAGAGAGAAGGGAAGATGCCCCCTCAGGGAGAAGTGGGTGCTGTTTCATGTCACAGAAGAGCTAGAGAAATGGTCCAGAGACAGGGGAAGAGGAGTAGGCAGGTTGGCCCGTGATTCCAGCCCGCAGGCTCTGGTCAGTGGGCCTCAGGCCTCTCCCCTCCCCACAAAGGACAATATTTGGCTGGCCAAGCCCATCAGGGGTTTCCCAGCTCCTCCTGAGGGCTGCGGGGAGGAGAGGACGAGGCTGGCTGGCTAGAGGACAGGGTGCTGTGGACTTGGCCTGGGGTGGACAGCAGGCAAAGGAGATGTGGGTCAGTATGCAGAGCAAGGGAGACTGGGCAAACACTCGGAACAGCGGGCAGGCATGATTTTATTGACTTGTGCAGAGTCCCCTGTGAGCTGGCTCAGGTTGTGGGCAAGGGACACAGAGCTGGCCAGGAAGGGCGGTGGGCAAGGGACACAGAGCTGGCCAGGAAGGGCGGTGGAGGTGGGAACTGGACTGAGAAGGTTCTGGAAGGCAAGAGGAGCAAGCGGCTGCCAAGTCACTCAGTACGTGAGGGACGTCTTCAGACTTGACTCCACCGTCTTCTTCAGGATGGTGTGACCGCCAGAGCTGGAGCCAGAGCTGAAACCGGAGCCGGACACAGAGCAGGGGCCCCAAACCGGGCCCTGCCCAGAGCCCAGGGTGACGCTGGAGCCTCCGGTCACGATGCTGGAGCAGCCAGACCCGAAGCTGCCTTTCCCGCCTCTGAGTCCACAAGCGCCCCCCAGGTCACCACCAGCTCCTCCAGACACAGTGGTGCTGCCTCCCCCTACAGCTGCCAAGAAATGCGCCAGAGTCACTGCAGGGTCCTCAGCTCCCCACCGGGACCCCTCTCCCCAAGTCCCCTGATACTCACAGACAGTGACCTGGCTGGTGCATTCCCCAGACATCCTGATGGAGAAAGGACAAGAGAAGGAAATGCTAAGAAGGGCTGCAAAGAATGCATTCCCTATGCTTTTTAGCTTCTTGGAGCAGCTCACATACCCAATCAGCAGATAAAACCCACAGTCCTGATTTTAAATCTCTGCCTCCCCGCCCCCCAGCAGAATGGGTTGCCCTTAGTGGCTCGGAGTGCCAGGAAATCTCAGAATCCCCCTCAGCAAGGAGAGCACTGCAGTGGCAGTCCATCGCCCTTTGCCCCCTCAGCTGAGTTCCCAGGCCCCCCACCTGCACTCCTCGGCCTCCAGCAGCCTGCGGTAGGTGGCGATCTCCACATCAAGGGCCAGCTTCATGCCCATGAGCTCCTGGTACTCCCGCAGCATCCGGGCCAGGTCCTGCTTGGCCGCTCTCAGAGCAGCCTCCAGCTCCTCCAGCTTGGCCTGGGCGTCCTTCAGGGCCAGGTCCCCACGCTGCTCAGCATCAGCGATGGTGGCCTGCAGGTCGGCATTCTGGGATGTGTATAGAAATGAGGGAGAAAGTGGCTGCAAGCCCAATACAGCCTCCCAAGTCACCTGCTGTGGATGGAGCTTAAAGCCCAGGGTAGACCACAATCTCATGAGCTCAAAGTATCCATGGTCACCCCCACTTCCCCGTTGCTCTCATCCTAAGGGAACGCATTGCCTCTTCTGCTTCCTTAACTCCCCGAGTGGGTCGACTAGTGTCCCCAAAAATGTCATGTCCACCCAGAACTTCAGACTGTGGTCTTATTTGGAAAGAGGGTCTTTGCAAACGTAATGCATTAAGGACCACAAGATGATAGCATCCTGCATGCAAGATGAGCCCTAAATCCAATGAGTTGTGTCCCTAGAAAAAGACAAGAGAACACGGAGACAAGCACAGAGAGATGACGCCATGTGACAACGGAAGCAGGGACTGGAGTGATGCAACCGTAAGACAAGGAATGCCCAGGAGTCCCAGGGCCGCCAAAGGCTAGGAAAAGGCGAGGAAGGATTCCCCCGCCCAGCTCCTTCAGAGGGAGCGCACCTGCTAACACCCGATGGCATGCCTCTAGTCTCCAGAACTGAGAGAATACACGGTCTGGTGTTTTCAAGCCTCCAAGTTGGTGGTACTTTGTTACGGCAGCCACAGCAAACTCATCTGCTTCCTGTCTCACCTCCTCCGATGATCTTCCCCTATTTCTTCCCACTCCTGCCCCTTAGCTCCTTACCCGAGGCACTTTAGCTCTACCCAGGCACTTAATGCCCTTCCTGTCCTGTATGGAGCAGTATCTACAAGTCTCATCTTGAGGGTGACCACCATCCTTGATGGTTTGAGAACAGCCCCATTTCAAACACTTTGTCCTGTTATCAAAGTACAGTAAAACCTTGGTATGGGAGTGTAATTCATTCCGGAACCATGCTTGTAATCCAAAGCACTCCTATATCAAAGCGAATTTCAAGAACCATTGGCTCCGTTGTGATCATGTGACGTTCAGTGTCACATACTACTCGTATTGGTAGACATCGCTCGTTTGTCAGGTTAAAATATATTAGAAACGTTTGCTCGCCTTGCGGAACGCTCGCAGAAACAAGTTACTTGCAAGCCAAGGTTTTACTATATATCAAACCATGTGCTTCGGTTTGGGGGTTGAGAAATACACTCTCTGTGCTTACCTCTCTGATCTGATAGAAAACTCCCAGAAGGGGAACAACTTCTCTATCTAATCTGCCATCCAGTGGGTTTACCTTCCTGTTTGGGTCAGGAAAGAAGGCATTCCCTAAAGGCTCTCATTATTCTAGTCCCAGTGTAGTCTCATTCCATTCTATTCTATTCTATTCTATTCTATTCTATTCTATTCTATTCTATTCTATTCTATTCTTGTTTTTCTATTCTTTTCTTTTCTTTTGTATTCTATTCACAAGCACCTTGTTGTTGGGAAATATCATCTCTATCCTACAAATGAAGAAACTGAGGTTCAGAAAAACGGTGAGGGGCAGAACTGGGACCCTAACCCCGGACAGCTGATGTCTGGTCCTAGACCGCGGGGCTCTGCCCTAGATCTGGCACAAGGATATCCAGTCCACCATGTGTGTGCAGGAAAATGGGGCCGGGTGGGAAGAATTCCCAAGAGGGATTCTCGCAGGACAGGCACCTTGCTGTGTGGCAGAAGCTGTGGGTCCCAGATGTGGGGACAGAGTAGCACTCCTAAGTACTGGCTGCTGGGCTGAGGCTCCGCACCCTCAGTCACCCTGGTGAACGAACTGAGCTTAGAAAGTATCTGGGCTCTGCCCTTAGATACTGATTCCCTCAGTCTGACAGAGGCCCAGGGATCTGCATTGTAACAGACATCGCCGAGGCATTCGCAAGCAAGGAATTCAAATCTATGGACAAAACACTGGCAGCAAATTGAACAATAGGACCTGGTCACCTTCATCTCGGGTCCCGAATCACATCCCATAGGAGAGCAGGTGAGGATATGTGGAGACTGCGTCTGGGCTTTGAATGGCCTGAGCTCCAAGGGCTTTCCCAGGGGGGCCCCACCGGGGAGTGGACGGGTCACACGCGCCCTGCTTGCCAAGCTGAAGTGCGTGAGGAGCCCGCCTGATCTGCCGTCTCGGCTCTCAACCCTCTGCCGATCCCAAAACCAATTCTTCGGGTTTGGGGAAAGTGGGTGCAAAGATACCGAGAGCTGAAGAGTCTGTAATCCTTCACGTCTAGAAGTGAGGTCTCCGGGACTAGCAGGAAACCATGTCTCTCTCCTTGCTGCCCTCTCCCTCTCCCCCTGCCAGCCCACACCAGGCACCTACAGCATCACCTCCAACCCACACATAGCATCTAAAGCATCTGCTTACGGAGGGCTCGCCCCCCCCCCATGCACCCCCATTCCACTTCCCATCTCGCCTGCCCCCTGAGTTCCTGGCTCTCACACTCCCCAACGCGGGACCCAGAAAGTCAGCACCTAGCCTTAGAGTCTCCGCTGGGCTTGAGGAGTAAGACTCAAACGAAGAGACTAGAAAACAGATGGATTAACACTCTCCCCCAAGGAGCCAAAAGCCAAATGTACACCTGGCCATGAAAGGCAGCACGAGCAGCGCCCCCTGGAGTTGTTCAGTGCAAAACACACACAGGCTTGAATTCAGAAGGAGGTCAAATTCCTCCGAAATGGGGCTTGAGGTTCTCTCCACCCAAATTATCCAAAGCTTCAGCCAGTACTCAAACCTGGACACAGACCTAGCAGTGACCCTGGCACCAAGAGAGTACCGGGAGGGCCTGGGGAGCTCTGGGAGCCTTACCTGCTTCTTGAGGTTCTCAATCTGACTTTGCAGCCTCTGACTCGCCTGCTGCAACTGAGAAATCTGGACTTTGGTTTCCTTCATGCTATCCCCGTGAAGCTGGGCGGACGCCTGAAGCTCCTGGTACTGAGGGGGACAGAGGTGACACCATTAGTTGAGAGGACCTTCACCTTTGACCCCAAGACCATGAGAAACATCGTGTCCCCAATTCTTCACCTCCTCGCATCCTCACTCGGAATGCAGGTGAAACGCTGAAGGCAGGACACAGTGGGATGAGCCCACGCCAGTCTGGGCTGGTGTCCCCTGGTTTCCCTCACTGCCCCCCTCCTGGAGAGGGGAAGTGGCCATGCCCACCCAGCTCTGGAGCCCCAAGGAGGTTATCAGAACTGCCCCAAAGGGACCGAGGGGGACGACCACCCTGGGGCATGGGCATGGAGACACAGCCCTTTCCAGCCCGGTGCTGCCCCCTGGCCCTGGCACCTTGGTCTGGTACAGCATCTCGGCCTCGGCTTTGCTGTTCCGGGCAATCTCCTCGTACCGGGCACGGACCTCAGCGATGATGTCACTGAAGTCCAAGCAGCGGTTGTTGTCCATGGACAGCACCACGGACGTGTCGCTGGCCTGGGTCTGGAGCTGGTTCAGCTCCTGCAGGGAAGACTGACTCAGTGTCCACCTGCCCCTGCTCCCTTTCCCCCTTGGAGTCCCGGGCAGGTGTCAGGATGCCTGACTTCTGCCCACACTCCGTCAGGGGGCAGCCCTCATTCCCCTGGGTGGTGCTGAGCATGCCCTCTGTTGTCTCCTCTCCTGAAAAGGAGGGTTGTAGGAGGTGATGTCTGATGACTCTTGCAGCGTGGACATTCAAGGTAAATGTCCTGCAAGCTCGAAATCGCCTGGTCCCCATCACTGCCCTGACTTCTTATCACACCTGCCTCCCTCTCGCTCCTTCTGCTCCAACCCCCACAGCCTCTTCATTTCCACAAAGATACCAGTGCTCCACTGGGGGCCCTGCGCTCCACCTGCAATTCCCCGGTTCCACCTGCCTGGTTAACTTCCCCACCAGCCTTCTAATCTTCTCTCAAACTTTGTCTTCCAAATAAGGCCCTCAGAGTGCCTGGGTGGCTCAGTCGGGTAAGCGTCCGACTTCGGCTCAGGTCATGATCTCGTGGTTTGTGAGTTCGAGCCCCGCATCGGGCTCTGTGCTGACAGCTCAGAGCCTGGAGCCTGTTTCGGATTCTGTGTCTCCCTCTCTCCCTGCCCCTCCCCCACCTGTGCTCTGTCTCTCTTGGTCTATCAAAACAAGTAAACATAAAAAAAAAAATTAATTAAGGCCACTCTGACCACCCTATCTGAAATTGCCACCTGCCTTACCCCCTCCCCACTTTCTTAAGCCCCCTTTCCCTGCTCTGATTTTTCCTGTTGGCCATAGCACTGATCACGTTCTAACGTACTCTACAATTTACTTCTTTAGTAGGTCTGTTGTTTATTGCCTGTCTCCCAACAGAAAGCAGGCGTTGTGATTTGTGTCTGGTTATTGACTAGTGCATCTCCAGGACCTAGCAATCCACACAGTACGTTCTCAGTATTTGCTTGTCAAATGTCTGCAGGACTGGATCCAAGTCACCCTAACCAGGCTTCGCCTCCTGGCCACTCCCACTGTGGCCAGGGAGCCTGCCGGCCCCCTCCCCTCCCCTCACTCCCACCTGCCCTCAGCAGACCACCACCCCGCATTGGTGGATCCTCACTTCTTCATACAGATGCCTCAAGAAGCAGAAGTACCCTTGCAGAGACTCCAGTGTGCCTTCTAGCTCCATCTTGCTCAGGAAAACCCCATCCGCATCCTGGGGACAGGAAGACAGCAGCCATGTACTCCCACTTCCTGCTTGTGGGTCCCACTCTGGCTCAGGAATTCTGGTCGCGCACTGCCCAATACTCGTCCACAGCTCTCCCCGCAGACCCGCTCCTTCCTCCTCCAACCCCGCCCCACCCTGTTTCTCCCTTTTGCCTGACACTGACCCACACTGCCTTCAGGAAGCCTTCCCGGATTACTCTCAACCAGTTCTGCTTCTTCCACTCCCTCCCCACCCTCTCCCACAGTGACACCCAGAGCTCATCATGCAGTCCTTCCATCCGATCTCATCCTGGGGTCCCTCTGTCTACATAGATGTCTCATTTCCCTGGGGCCCCCTACAGGCTGCATGAGATCATGTGCTGCATTAGGATTCCCACCCCCTACCCTCCCAGCCCTGAATTGGGCTTTAAAGGTGCATGGTGGGTGCTCAGGATCCGCGGGAAGCAGCTGGACACCCCCCCTCACCTTTTTTAGGACCACAAAGTCATTCTCAAGTGTGGCGTGCCTGTAGGCCTCCTGCTCATACCTGTCAAATACGTACAGAAGGACGATGCCTGAGGTGGTGAGATCAGAACCCATGCCCCGCCTCCAAGCACAACCTCCCAGAAAAGGCCCCTCTTGCCTTTAGATGCTTCCAAGCAGGACACATAACCAGCCAGCTCCCCTACCTTCCCTATCAGGAGGTCATTGTCACAATCTGGCTATGACCCTCTCCACTCTTTCAGCCCGTGTCCACCCGACCACATGAGGCCACTTTCCTTCACGTCTGTAAGGCACATTCCCACACCTCTCCTCACTACTCACAATCGTCATGTGAAGGGGACATTTTGGATTGTGTCAGGGAGATCACGTGACTTTGCCCAAGTCGTAGATAATTAGGTGGCGAGAGCAGATCTAAGACCAGCTCTCCCGGTCCCAATCCTGGGCTCTTTGCAGGACCCACCCCGCCTCACAAGCCATCCTCCCAATGGCTCTGGGAGTTGAGAAGAGCAGGTGACATGTTCCCAACCTACAGGTAAGGAACTGAGGCCGGCAAAGGCAAAAGGCCACACAGCTACCCTTTGCTCACAGTCGCCAAACCCAAGCCTCTGGTTAGTCCAGGGCTCTCTCCACACCACCAGGTGACCTAGGTGGGGAGCCCAGAAACACAGCCCAGCTGTGAATCATGCCACAAGCCTGGGGATGGTCCCCCTAAATGGATTCCCTTCCACTACCGAGACCAGAGAACATCTGAGTCATTTTAGCCCACAGCTTGCTCAACAGGATTTATCGAGGAAAAACCCACTGCGGCATTGTTTAAACAGGCCCCTCCCAGCCCTGACCGGACACGTGGCCCTTGTAGCTGGATCTATTGGAACTGAGGCTCTCTAGACCTGGGCATCAGGCACTGTGGGGCCTCCTTACCTGTGACAGCGGGGCACCCTGAGAATCAGAGGGCTTGGGATGCAGAAGGGAGGCCACCCATGTGTCTCTGGGAGCTCAGCATGTGGGAGACCCTCCAACCAACAGCCCCGATCCAAATCCTCCTGGACCCCACCCGGGCCCCCGGGGGCACTGGGGTTTGCCTACTTGGCCTTATACTCCTCCTCCTGGTCCTGGCAAAACTTCAGCTCGGCATCCAGGGCCCCTCGTTCTCTCTGGAGCTGCTCCAGCCACCTCTTGAGCTGGGCCACATAGGCCTCGAAGAAAGACTCCAGGCCCTGGGGACTGTCGCTTACCCCCTGCTGCTGTAGCAAGTGCCACTTAGTCTCCAGGACCTTGTTCTGCTGCTCCAGGAACCGCACCTGCAGCACAAATAGAGGGTCCCTGAGGCTCCGGTAGGACTCCCTGGCCACAGGCTCTGGAAAGTCAAGCCCCAGGAACCCCCCACCACCACTTAGCCCACCTTTCCCCTACCTCCCAAATCCAGCCTGGGCACGGGCAGCCTCACGCCCTCGCATGAGGCTCTGAGCACATCAAAGTGATCAGGATGGCTAACAGGGGAGGGGCTTCCCACTGCTGAACAACTGTTCTCTGTCCCTGTGCCCCAACCATAGAACAGCAGGGCCTCAGCCTAATCAGGACTGCAGTTAAACCACTGGAAGGACTTCCTCACTGCAGAAGTGATTAGAAAAGTGGTAGCCAAGGAAACTTCTCCATCCCCAAACCCACTGAGGACAGTTCCTCCGAGGGAGGCCCAGAGAGAGGGGCTTAGCCGAGTTGACCCTCACCTTGTCAATGAAGGAAGCAAACTGGTTGTTGAGGGTCCTGATCTCTTGGGTCTCCTGAGTCCGCACCGCCTGGAACTGGGAGTCAATCTCAATCTTCAAGGGGGTCAGCAGACTGTGGTCGACGGTCACTTCCCGGATGCCCCCCGGAGGGCACAGGGAAAGCCCAGGCCCACAGCGGCCCTCCCCAAGCCACACCCCTAGCCTTCCCCCTGATGCCCAGGCCCTCCCACGAAAGCCCCCCCTGCGCCCCCCAAAAGAACCGAAGCTCCTGCTACTGAAGCTGCCTCTGCCACAGCCCCCAGAGCGAGGAGAGCAGGCCGAGCGAACACTGAAGCCCCTCTGGGCCTGGCAGGAGGGGTGAGACATGGTAGAGACAGAAGGTCACACAGCTGCAGGCAGACAGACGGACAATAATCGAAGTGTGTGAGTTCCTGCCCTGAGGCCCCAGCACGAGACTTTTATCCCCTCCCATGCCTGGGCTGGGCCTTGGGGAGCAAGATGTTCTTGGCCTGACTGTATCTGTCACTGTCTCCAGCTGACCTATTCCGACATGGCTGTAGAACAGGGGCCCAACACGTGCGGAGCCCAAGGGAGAAGGAGGCCCAGACCCTGCCCTCGGAGCTCCCAGACCAGCAGGAGAGCTGGGCCCGTCCCAAAGACAAGGAAGCAGCCCGAGACCTGGACCCCGGGGCTGGGGGTGGGAGCGATGGCCCCGAGCAGTCACTGTGGGTCATTCAAGGAAGGCTTCCCAGAGAAGGAGATGGGGGGGTGGCAAAGGAGAGACGGGGTTCAGATGGAGCATCTGAGTGCCCAGGAGACACTGGACAGAAGAGAGTGAAGCTTCTCGAGGGAGAATCGACCTGCAATAATTGGAGAAGGAAGGCGCTTGGTGGCACTGGGAGAAACTACGAGGTTAATAGAGGTGTTATTGTCATCGTTGGCTGAAAGACGCTCCAGGATTTGGAAATGAAACCGAAAAACAGGGTGTCCAAGTCCCTCCTCTTGCTCAACCCAGCAATCATCCATGAGGCGCCACCCCACTCCAACCAGGCATCTCCATCCAGGATCTGGGCAAGTGGCACATTTCCAAGCCCAGCCTGTGTCCCTGCTCCTTCCACAGGCACGCAGCCCAGGCCCATCCACTTGGGTCACACACTGAGTGTATCAGCTTAGAGATCAGAGGCACCTGGGCTCTGAAGTAAAATATGCATTTAGAAAAATACTCCCGGGGAAAGTGGGTGATGGGCATTGAGGAGGGCACCTGTTGGGATGAGCACTGGGTGTTGTATGGAAACCAATTTGACAATAAATTTTATATTAAAAAAATAAGAAGAGGGGCGCCTGGGTGGCTCAGTCGGTTAAGCGTCCGACTTTGGCTCAGGTCATGATCTCACGGTCCATGAGTTCGAGCCCCGCGTCGGGCTCTGGGCTGACGGCTCTGGGCTGACGGCTCGGAGCCTGGAGCCTGCTTCCAATTCTGTGTCTCCCTCTCTCAGCCCCTCCCCCGTTCATGCTCTGCCTCTCTCTGTCTCAAAAATAAATAAACGTTAAAAAAATTTTTTTTTTTTAATAAAAAATAAAAAAATAAGAAGAAAAAGAAAAATACTCCCTTGGGGTACTGGGAGCAGACACAGGAGTCTGGGGCTCCCCCCAGGATAGATTCTGTATCTGCCCTCTGGTATTCCGTGAGCCTCCCACCAGGTCCAGGACGCCTGGTAGGGGGCATCCAGCCACCACCACTGAAGCTCCCTGAAGCTCCTCCACTGCTGGTGAGCAGCATTGGACAGCTTGGATTTTTAGAAATTTCTAAAGGTCCTTCTTTATATGGTGGGAGGGCAATTTCTTCCTCCCCGCCACCCGCCTGCTCCTAGAGCCGGATGGCCCCTGATACTAGGATACTGTGCCTTTAATAATGTAACTCAAAGCAAGCATAAGCAGGGACTCGGCATAATGGACACTCAAGGGACATGCTATGAGGAAGTCAGTCCTAGCAATGTGAACCATCCTGTGGCTGCCCTACCCGCAGGCCAGACAACAGTGAGCAAGTCTCCCCTCCCTCCAGAGGATTAGAAGCCCCTTCCTCCTTCTTCTCACCCCACTTGGCACACCCCTGAACGAAGCTGAACCACAGATGACCTCAAGGGGAAGAAGTAATGGGGCCTTCGGTGGGGAGAACAAAGGAGATCGAAGCGCTAAGGGGCCAGTGAGGAAGAGAAGAAGAGCAAAAAGATCCCAGCAGGAAATCCGAGTGTGCCATGGAGAGGGAGGCAGCGTGGAGCCACTCTGGGGTCTAGAAAGAGAATCGGGGAAATGGGCTGAATCCCACTGAGGACTCACCTCCAAACCCTCCCCCCTGGGGACCACCTTGCAGCAACAAGGAAAGCCAGATGCCTGCCTTCCAGGCTCCGTGAATGTGTTTGAGAAACATCTCTGTGAACTGGACTCTACCACCCCTCCCCCTGGTATTAAGGGTGGAGGACAGAGATCACGGTGGGATGGCACCAAATCCACCTCCCTAGAACTTCCTCATATTTGTAATGTTATAGAATAGTAAAGCCAGAGTGAACTTCAAGGGCATCTGACCAATGCCCCCATTTTACACTTAAAGACTGAGGCCCCATAGGGTGTAGGGCGGGGTGCAGAGACTTGTGCACCCTTGGGTAACCTAAGAGATGGCACCAGATGACCTCTAAGCCTGCTTTGACCCATCACTCCGTGATCTGAGTGACTTTTGCTCAAGGCCACCCACACAGCTGATCAGGCTGGAGCCAGGACCACCACTCAGCTCAGGCCACTGTCCCACGGAGCAACCCACTAAGCCCTTGGTCATAACTTGTCCACCACTCTATCCAGCTCAGGGTCTGGCATACGCTAGGCACCAATAAGTATTTGTTTTAAGACATGAGTCCTTATCCGTGACTGTCACACCCAAGGACCTTCTTGAATCGCCCCGGTTCTCAAATGCTGCTGTTTCCTTCCATTAAAAATAATAATAAGGGGCGCCTGGGTGGCTCAGTCGGTTAAGCACCCGACTTCAGCTCAGGTCATGAGCTCATGGTCTGTGAGTTCAAGCCCCACGTCGGGCTCTGTGCTGACAGCTCAGAGCCTGAAGCCTGCTTTGGATTCTATGTCTCTCTCTGCCTCTCCCCCACTCACACTCAGTCTCTCTCTCTCTCTCTCAAAATTAAATAAACATTAAAAACAATTTAAAAAAAATAAAATCAAAATCAAGAAATCATAAATAAATAAATAAATAAATAAATAAATAAGTAAGTAAGTAAGCAGGGGCGCCTGGGTGGCTCAGTCGGTTGAGCGTCCGACTTCAGCTCAGGTCATGATCTTGCAGTTGGCGGGTTTGAGCCCCTCGTGGGCCTCTGTGCTGACAGCTCGGAGCCTGGAGCCTGCTCCGGATTCTATGTCTCACTCTCTCTCTGCCCATCCCCACTCGTACTATGTCTCTCTCTCTCTCTCAAAAATAAATAAACATTAAATTTTTTTTTTGAAATAAATAAATAAACAATCATTCGGTGATGGAGAGAATGCTGACGCAGTTTGGAGATTTGAATGCGAGGCCCTCACGGCCTGAGCGATCTGCTCCCGTACACAAAGGTGCACAGAGAGGTCTCAATTCATGCAGCAGCCGAAGGACAAACAGCTCGAATCACGGACTTCACACCAAACCCGGGAGTGTGAAGGCTCTGATAGGTCACAGTTATGGTCACGGTTACGGCTGTCCTCAGGCTCCCTGCTCCCGGTTAACCCTCCTCAGCCACACCTCCTGCTCTGTAGCCCCTGACCACTTGGGCCCACCTTCAGGAAAGTGCCAGGCTGGCACCGCTTCTTGTAACTCCCGGGGGCCCTAAGCTCGCCCTTGGCCACCGCTAGAATTCCCCAACCTCTTTGGTTCAAGCCTGTCCTGCCTGCGCAATTTCTTGACCCAAATGCCATTTGTTACTCACATTTATTCAATTTTGTATCAACAAAATGTGATTGAGCACCGACTGCGTGCGGGAGCCTGTTCTGAAGGTTAAGAATTCAGCAAAGGGCAAAGCCCAGCCCCCGCACCAAGGAAGCCTAGAGTCTCGTGGAGACACACACAGTGAACAGGTAATTAGACAAGTATTTCATTGCAATTACAATAAGGAAAGAAAAGTATACGACATGAGACAGGCCTAACCTAGCTGATCCCCTGATTTATTCTTGAGCGTGCCAGGAACACTCATGCCTCAGAGCCTTTGCATTTGCTGTTCCTTCTTCCTGGAATGCTCCTCCGCCGATACCCATGCCTAAAAGTCACCTTCTCTGCTGCCTTAAAACCAAAATTGCAACCCTGGGTCCATCCCTCCTCTGACACTTTTTATCCATTTCTCTGCTTTCTTTCTTTCCACTTAGCTCCTGGCACTTCCTAACATTCCATGTACTTTACTTATTCATTTTGCTCACCTGCCTTCCCACAGCAGACTGTGAGCCTCATGAGGGCAGGCATTTGGCCCCTTTGTTCATTTATGTATCTTCTGCACGTAGAATGGCACCTGGCAGGGGCACCTGGGTGGCTCAGGCAGTTAAGCATCTGACTCTTGATTTCAGCTCAGGTCATGATCTCGTGGTTTGTGAGTTCAAGCTCCACATCAGGCTCTGCACTGACAGCCCGGAGCCCGCTTGGGATTCTTACTCTACCTTTCTCTCTGCCCCCCCCAACCCATTCTCTGTCTCTCTCCCAAAATAAACAAAAATAAACTTAAAAAAAAAAAAGAATGGTGCCTGGCATACAGGAGGCACTTAATAAATACCTTATGAATGAATGGATCCCCGTTCAGTTTCGTTTCATTGATTTCCTTCCATCTTTCAACCTCTGGAAGTCCTTGTGACTCTTAATTCTCTGAAGCATTGGTCAATCCCCAACCGACCACTGAAGGTGGGGGGCATGAATGCATTTGAGAAACATGGTCATGTGTCTGTGTGTCTGTGTCTGTGTGTGTGTGTGTGTGTGTGTGTGTGTGTGTGTGTGTTTATTGAACTCCTACTTTGGGTCAGCACTGACCTACCTGATACAGGAGATAAAAAATGGATAAGGCCCCATCCCCATTCTGAAGGAATATATAGTCCCATGGAGGATACACATATGAATACAGAATGGGAGGTGGTCTGAGAGGGGCCGCACCGGGTTGTAAGTTGGTGTGTTGGCATAACAGTGGGGAATTCCTCTTTTGGAAGAACCTTGACCCAGGGTCCTGGTCTTGGAGGAAAGCAAGGGCAGACTCAGGTAGCATGCCACTGGACGCCCTCCCTTTACATCCTCCCAGGGTCTGTGCTTTTGGGTCTTATGCTCAGCTATTTGGGAATCTACCCAGTCATACTTTTCTCCA